CATTCAGCTTTATATATAAGATTTTCTGTTAATTTTCCTGTTTTACGATTACATGGCTTGTAGGACTCAGTCAGCTTTTCTTATTGAGAAGAGAAACATTATTTAAGCATTTTGTGACCCAACAAACATATTTTGAGCTGAATTTTGAGAGTGAAGAATGGTCGATTTGTATGCAACAGTTTCACTGCGGCTTCTTTTCCAGTCTTACAAACCATTTTAAGTAGTTTTCTACCATATAAAGTTTTTGTCAAGACCATTCTTGTGGTTACTTTTCCCAACACCGCGCAAACTCTTCGCGGAAATATGATGTTAGGTGGATAATGAGAGCAATCGGCGATCATTTGATTGATGGACATCTATCTTTGAATGATATGTCAAATTTAGATGTTCTAAATGTTCACAGAAAGTACTAGAAGCGCTTGTATGTTAAAATGTAGGTTATGGGAGAGAAATTGGCAAGTGGAAGCGATAAAAATTGGTCAGATACGCCCACAGCAGGCCAACAACCAGTTTGTATAAATAAGCATCTTTATGAAAGTCATGAATTCTGAGTAAGCAATTCAAACACAGCAAATATGATTTTTTGGCATTACTTTCGAAATCCTAACTTTTCACAGAGATGCTCATTTATTCACAATTCTGCCCTAATGGCCTGTGCGGATCATAAGAATTTTATCGCTGCTTGCTCCAAAGTTTATAACAAGTTTCAGATTTTCAACTGCCTAACTCATCCAAAAATTATAACTGTGCAGACGCTCAACCAATACAAACTCTTCATTCGTGGGAAGGGCGGATCGTAAAAGTATACCAGTAGTTGCTCCGGATTTTGTAGCTTTCACATTTTTAGCAGGCTTGAAGTGGTTGAAGCTTAAGGTTTTATCCTGCTGCGACAGAGTAGCAAAGATACTATCACAAAGAAAACGATCTCCTTTATTCAGTAAAATTGATTATGTGCAGATCATAGTAGCTTCAAGCATTTTTTTGATCATCAGTTTTTGACTGCAACAAAGATAATGTAAAATTATTGCAAATGAAACTTTGATGGATTATGCTATTCAGCTTCTGTACGGGAGCCCTGGCATGATTGAAAGACTAGTTTGTGTTGGCTTTAAAGTCGTTCGATTGTGTGGGATCTCTAATACTGTGGCCCACTTTTTTGAAAGTCCCAATTGCCGTCAAAATTCTGTCAAAACAAACATAAGATTCTGATTGATAGCCTGCCCTTTAGAAGAGATATGTATGAAACTACCTCCAACTATCCATGTGGGCCTAATTCAGCAAGACCTTTCAGTTTTTGTTAAAATAATAAAGAACTGCTTCCTACCCTGTTCATTACTGGAGTTTTGTAAGACTTCTCCAATTAGCAATCTCAAGTCATAAAAGTGTCTTGAAACAATGTAGATCATTTCCGTGACGTTGTAGGAAAGTCTTAGGTTATGCATAATATTCTAATTATCGTTCGAAACGTTTTTCATGGATAAATCATGAATAAGAGAGTCTTCAAAGTAATCTAGGATTTTTGGGAACCTCACAAAAGAATAAAGTTGATAGTTTTGACACACATTGTGATTCGCGAGGCTTTTTAGAGAACTTTTACGCAAAGATCTCCTATCCAAAATTAGTAATTTAGGAAGCTTAACTACAAAGATGCCCAAAGTGCTCTTTCAAAAATCTCTTAGATAATCTGAAAATTCTGGAAACTTGACTAATTCTCTTTGCCAGTTTGAATTCATATTATGTAAGTATTCTCGACATTTAATTTGAGAGGTAAAAAAAGCGTATGACTTTCGCTTGTCATAGTTTCATTAAACAACTCAAAATGAACATGTGACTCGAAAGCCAAGAAACTTAAAGGGTTTTCTCGCAGAAACAAATTTTTGCAATGCCCTATTTAATATCTGCGTCAAGCCTTAACGAGAAACCAGAGTGCTAACTAACTGTTCAATGGAGTTCGCGCTCATCATCATCGGACATCTGACATTCCCCTAGGGGTCGCAGCTGTGAATGTGCATTTGATGATCGGCTTCATGTCCGAGATCCCCACACACGCACACACTTACACACCTAATCTAATCCTCCCCTTTGCGAGATAGAGATAGAGATGCGACACACTAGCATCGATTTCAGGCATTTTCGTCCAGGCGACAATTCCGGCAACTTGTAGCAATTTTCGCTTTCACCAAGGCTATATGAACCAAAGTCGAACCCGCAGCTTCCGTTTTGACTAGATCCCCTCTCAAAACAAGACTGCACTTTATCACTAAATGTTGGACTGGCCACGCTATTTCATGAAAATTGACGATGATGAACTTTACTAGGGACCATTATTTTCTCAGGGATAGTTTATCTAAGATTAAACCACATCATACGATTTGTGCCTAAAAGAGCACTAGTTTGTATTTATTCCTGCTTTTCTTCTGTTTCTTCCTTCGCCTAGGAGCAACACTGAAAGCGTCAACTCAAAATTTCAGTTCAGAGTAAGTTAGTCTCAAGAATGGCAGAGACAAAGGGTTCGACTAACTCTAATTTTGAAGTCAAGCACTTTATGTATTGTATTATGGGTAAATGTGCCCATGACTCTTACCCTTGAAATTCCAGTCTTTTTGATACATTTGATTCTTTTCAATACAAATTCTTCTGAATATTGGAAGGCATGATAGAGAATCACTGCTAATTTCCCTCAGAAATTCATAACTCCAAGGACATCAAATCTGAAGTGGTTGATGGCAAATGGACAATCAAGACCTTAAAAACCAGCTTATATGGACATTTTCTTTCCTCGCTTACGGCTTTCTACCCCTTCCCTTTTGCATACTGAAAAGGGGACCGTTATGTTCTTCTAACGAAACCCACTGTTTGAAGTTCCAAGCCTTATTGTAAGAATGTTCAATACTTAAAGAAAGTTGACGAAATCGCGTGACTCACAGCGAGCACAGATTTATAGAGCTTGCAAGCTTTTTGCTTCTTGCAGAATTTCTCGAAATTCTTGATCTAGTAGAGCACGTTTCATCAGCACATGAACATTTTAGGCGAAAGACACACAAAATTTTGTATATCTTCTCTCACGTTTGAATTCGGGCTTAATAATTGTTTGCACGTGCTCTACCTCAGTTTATAGACCTCTGAGACTATGGCTTTGCTAAACGTTGCAAACCAATTCAATGTAGGTCCGAACTTTGAACATTTTACGGATTATACGGGTTAGATGGCGGACCAAACATTATCGGGTTTGTGAAGTGCCAATGTTAATTCCCCTCTTTTATATATTCGGCACGAGTACATCTGCTGGGGAGTAGCTAAATCTAAAACGTTCGAAGACAAACAACTGCTTTATTTACGTCTGCCTCACGATTTTCTTTTCGTAGGGTGAGTCAGAATACTTTATGATACAATTTAGAAAATTGGAAAATTAATGTAGTGCCTCTGCGGTGCAGACAAAATTTGTGCGTGAAAACGCCCATTAAGTAAAAATTTTCAAGTTTTGCATTGTAATGATCATTCTTTACTTGAGATAGTTTCGATCATCCTATTGAATATTGTAAGACTTTGACTTTATATACAGAAATGATAGTGTTCGTGCTAAACTCAATTCACCCTTCATCAGAGGAGTAAGTGCAATGAAGCGTTTAAAAGTGCAAATTCGTCTAGTCTCTTACTAGAGAAAAAAGAACGGAAATGTTTTGTCGAAGTCATCGTGGAGCAGCACTTTTTGGCGCTTCTTCTCAGCGGAAACTTCAGTTCTCTGACTCGGTCATCCGCTCTTCGTGGCTCGTTAGTGGTCGTCGCGACACAGACGGACAGACGGGCCGAACTTCCCTTGGTTGTCCTTGCTCTGGCCTCTCTTTTGCCTCTGTGGCAGAATTCTTTGCACTTCTCCATTCGACTAATTACGGTCAGCAGCTGGCTTAGGATGGCAGTAGTAATTGAAATTGCTTTTTTTCACAAAAAAAATGCATGGCTGCCTTATTTTGACTCTTTTCAAAGATCGTTTTAGTATTTACGGTAATTTTCCTATTAACCAAAATTTTCATCAGAGCAGCGCTTTTTCTGACAGATAGAGTTTTGAAGATTTTGAACCACGTTGCCTTATTGCGCACAGTTGAAGTGAAAGTAAAAATTGGGAAAATTAAATGAAGTGGTATTTTTTATGCTGACTCTAACTTCATATTTCAAATTCTGCAATTGAAAATGAGACGCGAAATCAATTGTTCATTCAGTTTTTGATTTTATAACTCATGAAAGCAGTTCTATACTGATTTCTCAGTCCAATCATGTTTACATTTAGTAAAATGTATTATGGAATTTGATTTTTTAGCCTTCGATAGTACAGTTCTTTCTTTCATTGTTGTATAGTATAATCACTCCCTCCCCCCCCCCCCATTCCCAATAAAAAGACCCAAGATTCAAGAAATTGCGTGCCATATAACAAGTCCAGGAAGCGTGAGACACACGAATGTCCTCAATTTTTGGCTAATTCTTCATGTGATCAAGTACATCTCCATTTTTGTCTCAAAAACTGAGTATATAAACCCATGACCAATAGAAATTACTCCAAGCATTATGTTATGATTTTTTGTTCAAGAAAATCTCAATTACTATCACATTCTCAAATCTTTTCAGAAAACCCGCGCTGACATCTAATGGGCCAATCGGGTCCATTATGGAGTCTATATCCACTACTTGGTCTCATATCCTTTGTAAGGATTTCAAACCTTTATCTAGTGTTTTCTGATAAATTGAAAACTTTTACAGTGCGAATTCCTTTGCGGTATCGTACATCTTGTATTCTGTCTTCCTCTATATTTTCTGTGCCTTCCATTATTTAATGGAGTCTTTGGCCTATTAACATCATTTCATGCAATATTTCTTCGCTACCCAAACAGGTAAGTCGGCTAATCTTAGCGCCGGGTTCACAGAAACTGAAGACTTTTCCCAGATGTGATTTCTATCTTGAATTTATCGGCTGCGTCACTTCGTTTGTGTTTTTCTTTTCTTCCGTTATGGAAACCTACTGCGTTGGAGAATTTGATGGTTTGTTTTTCTATGATTCAATACTCTCTTTATTTACGAGTAGAGAAATTTTTAGAATTTTCTGAGCCTCGTGTAAACACGAAAGAAGGTGTATGTTATGGTTTGAAGTATCGTACCATATCTGCTGCGGAGTCCTGCCTGGATTTTCTCGGTCCTCTACAGATGTCATTTTTGACAAAAATCGGGTGGGAGCCAAAGGTAGGTTATATGCATTTTTGATCTCTTGGCTTTTTAGCTTCTATTCGCAAATTTGGATAATTTATAGTATATTATTTACTCAATTGAAGTCGGTAAGTGGAACGTTGGTAAAACTAGGATCCAAATTCTTTTAGTAAACAATTACCTTCTTTCTTTATTTGTGGGCAATTTTAAAATTTCTGTATATTGGTAAAGATCGTAAGCAAAGCATGAAAAATAGCGCGATTCGATAAATTAATTAAAAAACTATAATTCAAATTGAAACTAGGTTACCCAGGTGACTGCAGACACTACCTTTACCAGAATGGCTAATCCTTGTACTGCGTGTCCCTTTTTTGTGACCTTCTTCTTTTCAGGACCGAGAATCTATCCGCTTCTTTATAACAGCCTCACTATCTGTGCTATCTGGAATTCATCTCTGTTGTACCACAGGGTTGATGGTGTATAGCGGGACAGAGACAAAGTCAGCACCCTTTCCTCCAATGTGTAAAAATTCATCAAAAATCATTCTTTTCAGGATTAGACTATATTCCTATCATTATCAACTTGTCATTGGTGTACTGGTAACATTCATGGGCATTTTTCACTTTAGGTATGTCTAGAGTGATTTTTGTTCATGTTGTCAATTGGTTATTCTAGATTCTGTTGCACTTTCTTCTTTCTTGGTTTACCCTTTGCCGTTGGCGTTTACTCTGTCATTCAGGGTTAGTTTTTCCCAGACTATTTGTTGCAAACTAGTTTTCAAAACTCTTCAGGCATAGTATCTTGGCGGTCCAGATGTCATGGTTCAATAGTTCGGGCAATGAATGTCACTGGAGCAGCGCTAGCTCTCCTAATGTTGGCAGCGACGATATTTGGAATATTCTGTTGGGCCCATAGGTAAGACTGTCGCTCCCCTTTATCAACAGAACTCTATTGCGCATGAATTTTGCTTCAACATTTCAATAATTTCTAAGATGTTGAGGAATATTTGAAGTTAGAGTGAAAGTGAAAGTTAGAGTGAAAGTTACATTTATGTAGTCCGTTTTTATCTGTGGATGTTTGAAGTAAGTTTATCAACCAAAAACTATATCGGACTTGTGTGGAATTCCTGCATAGATCACGCCAAAGTAAGAGGTTTTTAAGTCACGAAAGGAAAGTCTCTCCAAAATAATTATGCCTCGAAGACTCCTCATACAAAGCATTACAGGAACGTTCCACCAGAATCCATAACACGGCATTGTCACTGGTTGCCAGATAGTGAAGCGTATTGTCTGCGCGTAATACACTTTTCACAGCCTTATATCGAATGGTTACCTAGAGAGACGGACAGGGAAATAGCTGTTTTTCAGGTAACTTATTTTTCAATATTGCTATGATACATAAACCTGTTTGTTTGTAGAATTTCTCCCTATATTTCAAAATTACAGATCGTCATTTACATATTTCTATTCGCCTTTTCATTTCTGCAATTTGTTTTCTCTATGAAGTCAGCATTCACCACGAAAATGATTGAGCTATATTACTAGTCAACAATTCGGATAATGTCTATTGGAGTATTTGTATAAATTGTTTTGTAAGTTATTTGTATAAATTATTTTGTAATCTTGAGGGCATTTTCCATTATGTACACCAGCTTGCGAGCTGTTCAAGTCATGTAGAAAAGCACTACGACGAAAACGAAAAGCAGTCAAAAGTAGTTATGCAAGTTAGTTACAGCACCACCACAGATCTTCTATATGCTCGCAGCAATCCTGCTGCAAGATAGTGCGTGCCCGGAGTACAGTACGCACCACCGAAGAGATTACGAACATCATTAGTTTTGTTTCTTGTGTGCTCGGCATTCTTCTTGTTCTTTCTTCTTCTTCATACTTTGCCATCTTTTTTCCCTTTGAACACCTTCTAGAGGATGTCGTCTTTTTTTGTGAGGTCAAAGGGAGTTCCTTCTCAAAGTTTTGTTTAAAGTCACGTCGTGCCTGCCCTGTGACATATCCATGTCCCACCGTTAGATTGTAAGAAAAAAAATCCAAATACACTGCACAAAACGTTCGACTTGCTCGTCTCGCATCAAAATTGAAACAAAAATTGCGTAATCGTTTTTTATTGGGCTGTCGATCCATAAACAACCATTTCGAGCGAAACCTGCTTGCATCAAATACAGCCAAGTAAGGCAAATAGTATTTGTTGAAGCTTTATTAATTTAGATATGTTGGTCTCGAATAGATATAGAACATACACAAACATTTTACATATGACTCGTTGAATTCGTTGAAAGACCAAAAATGGATCGATAGTGTTATACATGCATTATAGATTACACTTTACACTAGCATAAAGAAAACATGGACAAATGCGATTGAAAGAGCAAATAAATTATTTACACTGATGCTAACATTCATGCAGCCTAACAATCTTTTCTCAATATCACAACCCGTTCCGGATATGAGCACCTCATTACATAAAATGAAACGTATGTGAACCAGCACATAAATTATATCAGAGAATAGCTCTTGTGATTTACATCGCTTCAATGTCAAAGTGGCTATGATTGAACGCTGAAAGTCTTTGGACCTTCAACTTTTTCGAAGAAACTGTCTGAGAACCGGTCTTGGATTTAGGAATCTGACGTTTTTCTGAGGTATTAGAACGAGGATTTGGTGTCAGTCTCGGCTTTTCCATTCCCGCATTTATTTTCGATAACTGGGGAGATCGCATTCTGTAGAGCAGATCGTCGTAAGTGCGGATTTCATCTGGTGTGAGGTGATGTATTGTGATTAGCTCGGGTGCAATCCAGTCATGTCCCTGAGTAGAAAAATTTAGCATTCATTCAAGATTTGAGTTGCGTTCTTCGATGTTGTAAAATGTTTGTGATAGTCATTATAAAAAAAACAAATTCAGTAATTTAATATATCCAGAATATTTTGCTTTTGGATGAAAAGTACACTACTACATTTTATTATGCACTAACTGGCATACCGCTGCGCCCTTCTGTCCGTACACTAAGACAACAAAGGTCACCCTTCCCTATTTTTGTGCAACATTTCTTTGTTCCTGTTTCCTTTTTCCGCTAGTTCTCCGCTCCCATCATGTTTTGATCACTATGCTCACTTATTTCCCTGCATCAACTCCCAAATTCTCAGACCAAACTTTGCAAAATTTTATAAAACGATAAAGTTATTCCGTGAGATAGAAATTAATGTTGTAATCGTAATCAGCATGCTCATGCTCATTTACTGCCTGTGCCAACTTACAGCCCAAACTCAAACTTTGCAAAAAGTCAGTGCAATCGGTATCGTCGATAAGGGAACGGCCATAAGTTGCCGGCAACGATTGCCGAGGTTGCCGAGGTTGCTGGGATTGCTGAGGTTGACGGCGTTGCCGGTCGTTGCACTCATGATAGCCTCCACGTTCCGCGCGCTCTCTAAGCAGTCTCAGACCCCGGCAACGCCGGCAGCGCCGGCAACCTCGGCAACCCCAGCAACCTCGGCAACCGTTGCCGGCAACCTATGGCCATTCCCTAGCGAAAATGGATGACATCCGGCCCGTTCCGAAGTGCATGTGCGCAAAGCATGGTCTGGATCGGTTCACTTGGAGGAATTTTCTATTTGGACCTACGTATAGATAGACTATACACGAACATGGACAGACATACATACATACAAACGACATTCACTATATATAGGAACATAAGACGCAGTAGTCGTTGTTTGTCTGCCTTCTAGACCTAAGCTTCTTGGACATGTCAGAATTTTGATAAAGCATATAGACGATTCAGCGCCCACAAGGCTAACTGGACAGTACGTGTTTGGAAGAGGTAACAACAGTAAGAGAGCTGAGACCGCACTTAATCCGAGTAATGCCCGCGGGGGGCCCTACCTATCTCAGCTTACGCTAACTCACAAGCAGGGACACGGCTGAGATAGAAAAATAATTCGAACCGGTGTCCTTTGATTCAACGAGATTGGCGGTGGAAGGCGGCCGCTCGCGACACAGTCTGCTTCCCTCGCGAATGTGCTCTCTGATCATTCTCTGGCCTAGGTCATGAAGCCCCGCCTTTCAGCCGCCAACCCAGTTGAATTAATGGTTAACTACAACAACTCTTAAAAACTGAGGGCAAATGAAAGTTATTTTCAGAAGAGCGCGTAAATAAATAAAGTATTTTTGGAATGACTAAGCACACACTATGTGTCACATGGTCCATGGGGAATCACATTAGAAGAGAATGCCAAACACGTCCCACAGCATACAGTCTGCCCCAGTCGGGATCAGGCCAAATCGACGGCTGAATTTGCGCGCTCGCAGCGCTAGAATTTGCGCTGCATTCGCAGAGAGCGAAAAGATTAAGAAGAGAGCAGAATGACCACCGATGCATTCCTTCTTTCTCTTTTTTTCTGCTAAGATAGGCTTATTTGATTCTTTTTTGCTATTATCTTAGGCCATTATTTACATGATGAAGGTAGAAAGGTGTTTGTTATAGGAATGCATGGAATATTGCCCGCCCCGTAAAGGCAGGAAAATCTGCAATCTACAAATTCAAATCTGCATACGTTTACTATGAACTCCAAGACCGTCCGAATCATCAAAATAAGAGAGCTTACATTGATCTGTCTATAATAGTGCCATTCATCCGTTATCTTTCCATGAAACATGTCATCAGGGCGATATGTGTGGAAACGTTGTTGTCCACGTTCGTTTCTTGTGTCATGTGGATAAATCTCCATATTTTGTAAACACCTGAAATCAAGGTATAATCATCAAAAAATAGTGATGTAAACATACATTCCCATGCCAACATCTTCAGAGTAATCGAACGGACAAGCCTTGCGATCATCGTAACCTCGTTGCAGTAGCAGCTTCACAGCTGCACGACTGAGTACGTATCCTGCCCCACCGCCATTGTATCCTCGTGCCTGAATTTCTTCGAGATTTGGATAACAGTGGGTGGTAGTTACTTGTTACTATCGTTTCAACAAGTTTGAACATTCTACATTAACTCAAAACAAAAAAATCGGAAGTTAAGTGGTTTATAGAAGGGTACTGTTGCCGATTGAACCCTGCTGCTGCTGCTTCTTAAAAGTCGCTTTCAAATTAGTATGCCTCGAGGCGCTTTATGCCACATTGGCCCCTACTGTATTCGCAATCTGCTTTTCTGCTAGCACGTGCTTGAGTTGAGGCTGTACAAAGCCACTCGTAGCAGTGAACGGTTTGGGTTGAAGAAGACCGATAAGGAGAGAAAGTCGTACCAAGCCGTGAAACTCCCTGCGGCCTGTGGTTGCCCTGATGCGAAATCCTCAAATATGCTAAATTGTGAAGATAGTCAAATTTATAGCTGTTTACTTAACTTAACTCGCGCTGAATATCGCAACACGAAATATTCCGCAACCACACAGGGTAAGACAATTGTATGATACTGTGTCACAGCTTACAAGAAGAGGGAATAGTAGGCTGCGCGCATAGTAGCTGAAGCCGAAAATTTCGCACTTATGCACCATCAATAAACTAATGAAATATCTGGTTTAACAACGTGCGAATGGGGCGAGTGGCGTAGTGTATGAGGCGCAGCTATGACCAAGGTTTGATCGCGCTTCTAGACAAACCACACCTTTTACCCTCCGGAGATGGTAGACTGGTATAATGGTAGACTGGTACAATGTACATCGGGAAGGATAGCCGGGTTGAGGTGTAATCGGCCGATCAAAGCAAGTCATTGCAGAATTCACGCGCATTCAATTGCCTCTTCGATTACGAAGTAGTTTGCAGGGTAGCATTGGATGCATCATAAGACGCCCATTTCAAATCTCTCTTCTACGACTGCTGAAAGCTTCTGGCAATGAGCAATTTTATTGCAAGGCACTGTACATATGACTTGTAGCATTAGAAACATAAATGACCATCTAATTGACATCTAGGCATAGGCCCTACAAAGTAACCTAGCTGCATGTTTGTCCCAGCATTAAGCAGAACGTGGATCTGTATATCCACATCTGCATTTTGTACACCTATCTTTCTTTCTAGATATGGTTACATACCGCCTAGCTAGAAAGGCGCAGCAGATAAGAAATTCAGAATAGGAGCAGTGTTTTACGTTGCACCTTTTTTCTTGATTTTTTGCCATCTGAAAAATGTAGTAAGTATATGTGTAGATACCTGATGGAAGAGTATGTGTTGAGCGAGTGGGAGATTTGCAGAGTTGTTTTGAATTGAGATAAGATTGTCTTTGTTGTTTCGGAATTTCGGAATTTTTTTTGGCTTGAGCTCGATGCTGATGAAGCCCAGTGCAAATAGCTGAGCGCCATCTCGTAGAGCTTACTTTAGTCCAAAGGACGGTATTATGCCTCGCAACCTATTAGAAATACAAGACTCGACTTATGTCGGTGAAAATTCAGATGTCAAAAAACTTTTGACATTATTTTCAGTTCCTTTTCATTGTGTGAAATGGACCGCTAAGCACATTGAGGACCGCCAATGAAACTTATATGGCGCATAATTGTGTATGTTCTAACCGAAACTATCGAGTTGATTTGAGGTTGACAGCAATCTCGGTCATGACACTCGCGATCAGGAACAATTGTCAGCAAAATGTGTTCTAGGCTTTCTTTGAGGCTTGCTTTGGGCTTGCTCCAAATGGGACTTATTGACAATAATTAAGCTAGGCGATGGAGTGGAAAACAAGAATGGTTCAAGGTTAGCGTTAAGTACTTCAAGAACTTGCAGAATGTAATTCTCGCTAAAAAACAGAGGAGGTTTCAAAAAAACACATACTGCATTAGTTATCAAGCTATACTTTCTATAAAAACAGAATGACAATGCATTGTGCACGTTTAGGGAGCCAAATGCATCAACTTCCAGAGGTCGCTATGTACTTCACACACTCATGAAGCTCCTCAATAGTGTCTTAAGTGCACAAGCTTCGCACTAAGTTTTTTGCGTGCTAAACCTCAGCAAAAAATCTTTTCAGGGTAGTATAAAAACGCAGATTGAGGTGTGGCAGACACAGCAACCGCAATTGCCATGAATTCCCTGTACGCTCTATCGGCTGTTTTTCTCGCTATTTCTCAAGTGTAAGTTAACAAAAATATCAAACATGCAGCGCTGGTCCTCGCAATGCCTTTGAACACTTTGCAAACGGTTTGATCCCCATTTCCATTTCAGATCCCAGGCCTACTTCCCATATGCTGCCTACTTCCCATATGCTGGAGGCACGTTATCTTTATCTGAGACCCACTGCCAAGCTTGATGCCAAACTTACTTCCTGTTACTTTAGACTACCCCGGTTTTGGCTATTACGGCTTAGGTCACCCATATCATCCATATGCCGCATTTGCGTACGGTGCTTATGGTGGATTCCCTCCTTATGGATATCATGGATATCCATACGGATTGGTGAGTGTTAAAGATTTTACTAGAAGCTTCTTGATAAATGTGTTGCAGCACGGCTTCTATCCACGATCAGCAGTACGTAATGTAGCCAGAACTTTTCACAGAAGTGAGTCAGCCTTTTATTACTTATTAGCCTAGTTGTTCATTGAAAATTTGCAGTTGATGGACATCTCTCTGACACCAGCATGCTGTCACCGCTTGCCAAAAACAAGAAAAACTGAAAGCGATCAAGCATCAGTGATTAAAAACGCTCACATCAAATAATGCTTTACATACTGTATGTTGACTACCTACTATCTTTGTCAGCTCAAGCTCTGTTCCGCATGTGCTTTTCAAAGTTATAAAAATTTCGTAACCAAATCTTTGTGTTTACTTTTTTTTACAGAGAAGTTGATCGATTCCATTGCTGTGGATTGATCTGGTAAACGATGAGTATTAAAAAAAATACTCCCTTTTGTATACACGCATAGGTAGCACCTACTCAAATGCTGTCCAAGAGTAAGTTAGAGACAGTATCCAAATCTGAATTTCAGCTTTTTTGCAGGTTATCCGCGCGAATCTCTATCATGCAAATTGCTTACAAACGCTGAGCTTTTGTTTGCATGTCAAATTCATAATATTACTTTATTGAATCGGCCCACGTTAGCCGACCCAGTAATTATCATCCGGCCTTAGTTTACGGCTCAAATACAGGGTGTTCCAAAAAATGTGCTTACTATTGATTGGTAATTTTCTTGCGATGTCTTTCATAAGGACAGGTAACATTTTATAGAGCTGGCCTCAACTTAGATTTACATCGAACAAATTACCGTTGTCTCTTCATTAGTATAGGATTATGATAGGAACTTTGAGGAAGGTTTTGCGTCCTTAGAGGTCATATTTCATCTCAAAAAAAGAAGAATCAAAAAAGTTGAATACTTTTACAACTAAATTAATCAGAGTCGCTGATTTCGATTATGAAAATTGCACTTTGCTGCAAAGCTTTTCTCGTAAGTTATGCCAGACAAACAGTAACAACCGAATTCCGATGTTCGTTGAAATTTTGGCTGCGCCTTTTACAAAGCCGTTTTTTGGGATGCTCTGTACACTGTGCCTGATAGACCTAATTTTTGTCCATGCTTTTCACATAGGATGCTTTAGGGTTCCTTCATACTGCGCCGCAGGACGCGGCATGCGCCGCTGAAGTCGCAGTGAAAATATACGCACACGTCAGCACAGCTTCTCCGGTTAATGATGTACATCTGTATTTTCTGCACGTTCGTGTTCAAAGGTTGCTTCACAGCAAGCGAGCTTATATTTTCACTGCGACTGCAGCGGCGCACGCCGCAGGATGCGGCGTACTGCTGCGTGCTGCCGCGCCCTGCGGCGTGGCATGAAGGAACCATCAGCGATCCGTTTCCTCGACTTGATATGCACATTGGAATAGGCAGTGTTTTGTGAGACACCATAAATTCAGAAATCGGGAAACAAAGATATACAGGGTGTCCCAAAAGTAAGTACACACTTTTCAATCGTCATTAACTCTCTTCCCAATGGGTCTTTTTATGCCAGTCAGGCACCGTTTTGTAAAGGAGGCTTCAACTTAGATTCACAGTATTGAGAGAGTCACTTACGCTCTTCGTTACTGTAGGATTACGGTAAGAACTTCCAGCATGTGGAAACCATTGTAACATACATCTAAAAGAATTTTATTTCAAGAAATCTGAAAATTCGTGTACTAGGGTCTTCGCGCACGCTGATTCCAATACATAACTTTTTACGAGTGTTTTCAGCTTTCTTGACGATGAAATCACATTTCTGACAAATACTGAGAATTCAGTTATTACGGTTTACTCGGCATAATTTTGGAAAGAAACATTATTATAGTAAAGTGGAAATTTCATATTCGAAATCCGAAGCTCCCATCACCATAGTATAAGAGTTTTTGGCTTGTTTGGTTTTGTTGCGAGGCAGAATATGGCTTCCAATGGCCTAAAATCCTTATCGAAGTTCCTACAGTAATCTTACAGTAATGAAGAGCGATCGTTGATTCATTTAACACTGCAAATCAAAGTTGAAGCCTCCTCTACAAAACGTTGCTTGACTGGCATAAAAAGACCCATTGGGAAGAGAGATATTGACGATTGAAAAGTGTGTACTTACTTTTGGGACACCCTGTATTTAGGCGTTTTCAAACTCTCGCCAAACAATGGTCATCAACAGCTGATGATATCACTAAACGCGCAATGATACCCATGTAAAACTTTATTTTTAGGAAAATCATCCAACTATGCCTCAAAAACTGAATGTTGTTGATTATGGTGGAAAGGTGGTTAGTTTTTTTAGAAGCGCAATTAATATACAACACGTTTTTGCCAAATCAAAAGTAGCGCACGACTTTTTGGCACATTCTTATTAGCTTCTCAATTTCAATTTTTGAGCGACAGCGCGCAGGCTCCCAAAAAAGTCATAGCGCTCAAACTACCTACTGCAATCGAGACATACACCATACATGAGGTTTGCTAGAGAGCGGAGCAATTGATAATATGATAGAAGTACGTTGGGGACTGAAGTACCTTCCATCAAATAATGCAGGACAGTTTTGACGACGTTTGCCATAGGAAGCCATGTTTCGTCATGCAGAAAAACTTACTGAATCTGTCTTTTAGGCTTTCTCTGCGGGATCTTGCTCAGACGTTGCAGTTGGCTTGCATACGATATGGTCGACCTTCTTCTTCTTGTTGTTCGGCAATTTTCAGTGCAGGACGTCCTGCCCATCCCCGAAAAGTCTTGTTCAGGGACACCCTGCTCAGCCCCTGTTCTTTTGCAGCAACTTTTTGCTTCCTTTTTTGTCTCATATTGATGTACGGGTGCCGTGTTCCATAATCGACAAAAAATTTATGCAAAACGCTTCTTTTTATAAGGAAAAATGAAATTGCCGAAAAAATGCAGAAATTGCTCCTATCTGCCTTTCATTATTTCCACCTCTGGAAGCTATGAGATCCGAGTGAATCAGTTTCCACCGGAATCAGTAGACTTTTAAGAGCACAACCAGCCCTCACAGGTGAAATACGCAACTTGCCGCAGATCAACCGCATCTCAAAGATATATGGACGAGAATGAAAACGCTACGAACTTATGGAACGACCTAATAGAAAGCTTGCTCGTGTCAACTGCCACTTCCATCGCCTGTCTCATTCAAAACGATCTTTTTTTGAGTCTTTTTGGGCACTCGCTATTCTGATTTTGTCCGCTTTGTCTCAAATCACGCTAGTTCTTTGTGGCTTCGCCCTTTAACTTCTGTGATATAACTTATCCTTTGCACCACGTGCATTATCTAATATCTTCCTTATTATAGGCGTTGTATTTCGTTGCGAAACAGATTATTCAGGACACTATGTCCGCGCTGTACGAGATGCTCCTGTTTTGCCTACTTGACCTAAAGTCGTTGGCGTACATCGCTAATGGAGACGGCACAGTTGGTACCCATAATGTCTCTATGTCTCTTCCTTGGCCGATATACGATTTTTTTTCTAATATCTGTTTTTTTTCTTTAGCTCTCTTACATGTACTTGACTCCCACAAATCAGATGCCGTTTCGACATATCCCATCCATTTATTGTTGATTTATAAGTAAACTCTGATGTTAGGCACTAAGTGATGTAGACTCACCGTGCAACTCCTATAACATCTTGAAAACAGTTCTAAGTGAAAGTGCGAAAGAGAATTTTATATCAACATTGCATTGAAACCCAAATTCTAATGTATATCGTTGTGTGTGTATGTGTGTGTGTATATACATGTTGTGTGTGTATGTGTGTGCGCGCCTGTACGTATGTTCCGAGTAAAAAATCTTATTTTTGAACCGATCCGGACCAAACTTGGCACACATACATTTGGGTGGGGCGGGTGTCATAGGCAACTTTTCATCATCGATCGATATCGAACTTTATCGATTTCTATCGATATTTTTGCAAAGTTTGACCTACGGGACTGGGAGGGGCACAAGAGGATAATTTAGCATGCTGATTACTAACATATTGTGAATAGGGAATTGGGATGTAGAAGTTGGCACACGTAAAGGTTGCTCAGGATAAGGATGGAACTTTTATCATAGTGTTTTGACAGGCCCGTGCGGAGCTGGGTAAGCCAGCGTTGCTTTATACTTGAGGCGAGTATGACGGTGCTCCAGAGCTAAGTTCTTCTTGTCTTGCTCCCTGCAGAGTTCCAGTCTCAGCAAATTGCTCATAGAGACTTCCACGCTTAGCACCAATGTGCTAAAAAGTGCTTATTCAAGTTTGATGGGTGGAGCGGGGGGGGGGGTGGAGGGAGTCGATAACAGTCGCGCAGCAGTGAAAGCAGGTGTACAAATGAGATGGTACCGTATCAAACTAATTCTGGGTGCAAAAAGTTCTTGCTGTATGTCAGCATACTGCGTCGTCAAAAAGAGAATACAACCGTCTAGTAAAAAAATTGAAGCCTGTAGATAAACATTACAAAACAAACATACGAGGTACGGTTTGAGGGTGTATCCTAAATAGTATGGTTCGGATGGATCTAGTGTGGCAAGATATTCATACATGTGCTCCATTATGACGTAAGTATCGTCGTCTGCCTGAAAAGTTGATGCATGATTTCAGTTAAATACTGGTGGCCTAACCAGCTAATCAGATCAGTAATCATAGGTTTTTTTGCAACTTGATTTACTTTTTGACGACATGAGATGATCACCGGAACTTATGGCCAGTAAGCGGTCTTAAAGAGTTTCGGGAAGCGAAGACATCAGAGAGTCTTGCAAGCCACAACTAGGCAGAAAGTTCTTCTATAAAAGCATATTCAGTGTTGGATCAAGAAAGGAGCGAGTTTTGTATGAACCTGACGGACTAGTCGGAACAACTTCATTAACCTATGTATCTAGTCAAATCAAAAAATGTCTTCTTCTTTTCACAACAAGCACAGAACATTTGTAATTTTGCGCCATCTGCAAGGCAGTTCAAGTATGACATATGTGTGACATATGATTCAAAAAATTGCTTTAGTCTCACAATCTACAAACATGAGAAGTCCAAAGGGACCATTATTATCCATCAGACTGAAGCGATAAACTAAGTGTTTATTCAAGCATTCTGCAACTTATAGCTTGATGGGTCAGTCCAAATATGCCAAACATAAACATTTTGCAACTTTCTAATCTGATGCATTTGAGGTAAAGCGAGGAATACTAAAGTGCGATAGCGCTGAAAATACTTTTCACTCTGCTTCATTCACAAGGAGGGTTGAAATCTTAGAAAAAATAGAAAACATAAGGCCCACCTACTTGACCGGCAAAAAAGCACCAACTACTCGTAAAAGTTTGACTAAAACCTATTTAATTTTTAGAGGCAGCTACGTAATTGACATTTTTGTACACTTATCACCACAAAATTTTCTACTCACTTCTAACGCTGTTATAAAATGTTTCCCTAAGGCAAAATCAGAAGCAACTCACCTTAAAGTACCAATCGAATTGATCCGAAACATTGTTATAGGCGTAATGAAATGCGAGAAGAACTTTGTAGAAGAGATATTCGTACGTATCTGGCAACTTTGACAGAATTGTACTGTGCGGTATGCTCGGATCCATCTTCTCACTTGTGAAAAATTGGCCACTATCGCAACGAGGCAACCACGTTTCATTTACAGCTAGTACCTAAATAACCTAGAAATGTCGGATACTCCATATTATTTTAAGTTTACCACTGTTAAATATGAATTGAACTTTATGAAAAATATGAAAACCTCACTCGATCATTGTGATATCTAGGTGTAGTAATAACAAAACAAAACAGTCTGCCTTTCTTTGGTAAATGCAAAGCTGCATCCGACATGTAGACGTCATCCAAGGTAAAATTCATATCCCTGAAAAGCACTTATTCTCATTCATGCAAAATTACAAGAGAGATGTGCGGTGTGCAAGACAGGACAATGATGGTACACAGCTTGAAAGTTTATTGAAACTACGGAAAAATGAAAGAAACAAAGCTAGTTAGAGTTCTATATGTGGAAAAAGAGAAGTTGTGCTGTAGAATAAACTCGAAGATGTTAGATGCTCATGCAGACCGACATTTTAATTGCATGCAATATTTGAAATTGTAAAATATTTTAGACGGTGCGAATTATCGTTACATTGTTATGTTGATTAGAAGAAGCACTGCTTTTTTGCCTTTGCATGCATGTGTGCCGTACGCACGTTGGTCCGATAAAGCATTAGAAATTTAGGTGAATATAATCCGGATACTAACAAGGAAACCGTGTCGAGTCGAAGTGGCCTTTCTAGAAGAGACCCATACTGCTTTGAAGAGTATTAAGCGGTGATTCCAAATCTGCCCTCCAAATCTGCCAAGCGCCTCTGGACGCCGAGTTATGACCATTCTTCGGAACAAAAAATTAATGCAGAATTTAGGCAAAATTGATTGTTACGATCTTTCCAGCGCTCAGACAAAGCAGTGTTAAGTATTAGCATATTAAATAAAACGTATCCATTGCATAAACAGCTCTGATACTTGACACTGGACCATTTAAGCAAATTTGGGCGATTTTGCTTCAGTTTTGCGTTCAATTTTTTGACCTGAATAACGAGCATAACTCGGCGTGCAGAGGCGCTTGGCAGATTTGGAAAGCAGATTTGAAATCACCGATTAATGCTCTTCAAAGCAGTATGGGTCTCATCTGGAAAGGCCACTTCGACTCGACACGGTTCCTTTGTAAGATCCAAATGCATGAACACCCCTTTAGCGAGGAAGCATCCGCAATAGTGAAAAAGCCTTTTGCATTCTGCGCAAACTCGC